TAGCGTATGCTTGATCAGTTCAAACAAGTCATCTCTGTCTCTATCATTTTTCCTCAGGTTCTTCCGGTTGTTGATCTCTGTCTGCCCACGATCCCCTCATTGCTTTGGGGATTCGATTCCTAGAAACTTTGGATATTCATGATGTTGAAAAACTCCTTCACGTGGTTCTATTACAGTGTTCCTGAGAGAGGACCTTTCCAGGGCTTACACTAAAAAGTTGATTACTGTAGAGAAAGTTGAAATGTAAAAATAAGTGCAAGAAGTTGATTACGACTAGAATTCGACAAACCCGTGACTGACAGAACTATACGCTTAATTCTCTGCATATTCGTCGCATACTTAATCGCATAATTTTATGCACATTGTCAGTTAACTTTTTCTATGGTTCGCATAGTTTATCGTATAATGGGAACACACTTGCTCAGTTATCTTCTTCTTTCTATTGCATAGTTTATCGTATAATTATTCTGCACTTGCTCAAATACACCTCTCTGTAGCGTAGTAGTTTATCCAATAGTGAGATTGCACTTGCTTAATTGTCTTCGAATGTTTGTTGCATAATGATTTTGCACTTGATAAATTAACTTCATCTGTCTGTAGTGTAGTTTATCAACTAATTATTTACTTTATCAAATAAACTTCATCTATTTGTCTTGTAGTTTAATGCATAACGACATCGGACTTACTCGATTATCTTTGTCTATCTGACTGTCATATAGTTTATCGCATAATTGTTTCGCACTTTATCAATTATCTTCGTCTGTCGTCGCTTTGCCACTCACATATTTGTTTTGCACTTGCTCAATTAATTTACCTATTTGTCGTGTTTATTGCATAATGAGATTGCACTCGCTCGATTAACTCCACATGTCTTTTCGCATGGTATATCCTATAATTTTTTTTATACTTGATCAATTATCTTTATTTGTATAACGCATAGTTGATCGCATAAATATTTCACATTTTATCATTTATTTTCACCTGTCTGTGACGTAGTTTATGGCATAAGTACTTCGCACTTTATAAACTATCTTCTTTTGTCAGCCGCGTAGCTTATCGCATAACTATTTTGCACTTTATAAATTATCTTTACACGTCTACCGCATAGTGTATCACATAATTTCTTTCGCGCTTTATCAATTATCTTCATCTGTATGTCACAATGTTGATCGTATAAGTAATTCACACTTTGCAATTAACATCATCTGTCTGTTGCATAATTTATCGCATAATTTTGGCACTTGCTCAATGAACTTCGCATGTCTGTCTCATAGTATATTACATAAATACTTCACACTTTATAAATTATTTGCATCTATTTGCTGCATTGTTAATTGCATAACTATTTTGTACTTTATAAATTATCTTCGCAAGTCTGTCGTGTGGTTTACGCATAACTATTTTGGACATTATAAATTATTTTATTTTGTATGTCCCATAGCTTATTGAATAATTTGCAGTTTATCAATTATCTTCGTCTGTCTTCCGCATAGTTTATCGTATCATTTTTTTTTTGCACTTTATCATTTATTTTCGTATGTCTGTCACATAGTTGATCGCATAAGTTTCATACTTGCTCAATTAACTTCGCTTATATATTGCATACTTTATCATATAATTAATTTTGCACTTGCTCAATGAACTTTGTTTGTCTGCCGCATAGTTTATCGCATAACTGTTTTGCAGTTCATAAATTATATTCGTCTGGATGCCCCATAGCTTATCGCATTTATCTTTGTCTATCTGGCGCGTACTTTATAGCATAAATATTTTGCACTTAATAAATTATCTTCGTTTGTCTGTCGCATATATATTTCGAATTTTATAAATTATATTCATATATCTGTTGCATCGCACAACTATTTCACAGTTGATAAATTATCTTCGTATGTCTGTCACATAGCTTATCGCATAAATATTTTGGGCTTTATCAAGCATGTCTGTTGCATAATTTATTTTGGACTTTAACAATTATCTTCGCATAGTTTATCCCACATAATTTGTTATGCACTTTGTGCGATGAAAAAGTGAATTTAGTATGTGATGGTGTGTCCGTTTGTAAATAACTATTTCCTCTTTAATATTTTTAAAATATCCTATGTAAATATAAAGTTTATAAAGGTAACATTTTTCAAGCATGCGTGATAATTAAGTTGCATTCTACAACTTTGTTAACTTAAACGAAAAAAGCCTTCTTCTTCTTCTTCTTCTTCTTCTTCTTCTTCTTCTTCTTCTTCTTCTTCTTC